TCACATGAGAAAATAATTGACAGGAACATCACATTTGTTGTGTTGGAAGGCTGTCTGATGCTTAGTTAATCTGACTAGTATCCCCGTAAATTTGTATTTCAGTGAATTATTAGCTTTACAAGAGCGTAACCATGCAGAGCCAGGTCCTTAGAGCAGATTCTGTAGCCTGATCTGCTTCAAAACATCTCTGAACTAACCAGTGGGACACTCGCCTTGGGTAGGGCACTTTGTGGGGACCTTCCTGATCTTTTAGTGATAGGTAGTAGAGATGTTTAGCATCCACACAGGTTCTGCTGTTACTGTTCTTTATTGTTCAAATAAATATTAATTCAGCACTCACAGACCAGAACATCGTAACTGAAGGAGTAACTTCTGCCCTGCCCAGAGAAATTTGTTATATGGTATCTCACAACTCACATTGCATCTTCCTTTTTCAAATCCTGATGTGACCAAGGTAACTTTACCCATGGCATACTCAAAAACGTCCCTTTCCCTCTCCTTTTCCTCTTTTAGACCTTGTCTTGTTTAATGAGTGCATTGGCAGAAGAAGAAAAATGAAGCTGGAAAGTGTGAAAACATGTACCCTGCTAAAGCAACAAGCCCTGCAAGATCCTTTCCGTGGGCCAGCTCTGTACTTCACTGAAGTAGAGTGGTAGCTGTAATTACCCCAAATAATGCCTGTTGGAGTGCCAGAGCCAAGCAGGAGCCTTTGTTCAGTGACTTCACAGGCTAAAGGCCAATAACATGTGAACTCAGTTGTGTATTTATGGACACTTTTGGGAAGGGAAGAATATAGCAGAGGAGGAGGAAGGTTGGGAATTTCCTCAGAGTTTTCCAAGATGCTCTAGTGATTTGGGAGAGCATAAATGAATAAAGTGCGATCACTTAGGTAGTTTTGAAAGCTAACCTTATGTGCTGGAGACAAGGAAGTTAATTTTTCTAAAATCACTTGTGAAATACAGCAACTGCCAGCGCAATTACAAGTTGGCAGAATGTGTGAACAATTGCTCTTATTTGCTTCCAGGTTGCAGCTGTACAGTTTGTAAGAGCAAATTCCTGCTACATCTCGCTGCAAATGCCAGTTTTCCCAGTCGAAGGTAGTGTTCTACCACAGTTATATCCTTGTTCTACATCTTACGCGTAGGTGCTGGTAAGATATCGATGTATCAACCTGGTGGTGTATGTTAAGAGTATTTTGCTGACTATTGCTGGCATTTGAGCTGATTACCATTGGAATAAAAAAATTTAAACCCATGCCAAGATTTTTTTCTGTTCTGATCCAAGTTTGACTACTTTCTTAGCTTTAAGCACCTGCTTAAATCCTATTGAAGTCAAACAAAGTGTATGTGTAAGCGTTCTCTCAGGCCAGGAAGAGACCAATGAATGTAGATCTCAGAGATTACTTACCACGGAAAAAATGCCGTACATCCCATTTGAACGTCATTACCTAGTGGAGTTGTTTTATTCATCCAGTTTTAAAAGCACTTTTGGAATACACAAAACATTCTGTTCCGCAAACTCCAATACTGATCCTAGTTTGTAAATGTTACGTGATGACTTTTCTTCTTCAGTCCCCGTCACTAATGAATTGCCAAAAAAAAAAAAAAAATTACATGGTAAAAGAGGCAAAAAGCAATCTTGCCAACCAAAAATCAAAATTGTTCTTGTGCAACACACGTAACCTAACATTGCATCAAGTGGTTAAAGAAGGTGTGTCTCCTTAACTGTTTTTATACTAGGCACATTGCACAAAGGATCCCGAGGCTCCACTACTCCCCCTTGAAGAGAGGTCCGTGTCTCTCAATCTGCTGGGTTCCCACCCCGAAGTATTCAATTGTTGTTTATTTTCCCAAACCCTAGAACACAGCTCACATTTAGGCAGACAGTGGGGCTACCCCCCTGCGAATGCTCTCTCAAGCGCGCAGCGGCAGCGGCACCAGCAGCAGGCCCCGTCCTTAAACGCCAGGCAGACGCTCCCGCAGAGCACGAGTGGCCTTTTTTCCCTCCTTCCAGTTTTCAGCAGCGCTACACATCCGTAACTGAAAACACGGGTGGGAGCGGGTGGGAGGGGGCGGCGCGGGGCGGCGCGGGCTCTCTCCGCCCGCCCAAAAACCGCACGCCGCGCTCTGCCACGAGGTGTCAGCAAAGGAACCCGCAGCGCCGCGGCGCGAGCGGAAAATCGAACATCCAGCCCCCAAAAAAAGAAGGCGGGGGGGGTGGGGGGGGAGGCAAATTACTCCAAACCGGCGCCTTCGTGCCTGAAACGTTTTTCCTCTTTTCTGACTCCCCGCTAGATGACAGCAGCGAAACCAGGCTGAAACAGCCAGTAATGGGCTTGTGGAGAAAACGATTTTATCCCTACTGCTAAAGCCTCAGAGAGCAATGCAGTTAAGAAACTCGCGTTATTGGCTGTTTTCCTGGAAATTACAGAGCCCTTTGCTTTTAGGCTTCCCGCCTACGGGCCTCAATAATTTACAAAAATACGTCTCTGCATTGTATGCAATGCACTTAAAGCAAATGTACTTGGGCTGGAAAAAACAGTTAAGTATTGTTGGTTTAATGTGAATAATTACTTCATAATGTCAGCTATTAGTCTTGTAAAATGCTCCCAAGCTCTTACTTTCATGAGCTGAATGGACCTGATCTTTCAGACAAGAACACCCGTCTATGCTGAAACTGCAGCAAGCCAGAAGACTGAGTTGCCCTGTATATTTACAGCAATGTTCAATTTTGTAATAGGGATACTAATTTTATGCCAGTGCATTAAAATGCTGCTACACTTTTGCTGTTGGCTGCTCACCAGATTAAAGCAGTAAGCTGTTTTAGCTTGGTTCATCAAACCAGTTACAGTACAAGCTAGACTAGGGTCCAAGTAGTTACAGCACAAACGAGATTCAAATATGGACCAGGTGAGGAAGGAAGGAATTAAACGCACTTATCTTACTGTCACACAGTACTCGAAGTTGAATCCATCTTGACTTGACTTAAAACACTGCAAAGCTGCTGTAAATAGGGCACGTGCTAGAATTCAGAGGGGGCAATACACATCCTCTACCTTGGTCCTATTCCTGACCTATTCCAAGCATTTTTTTGTGTGAAGAGAGGTAGATCTGGTATAACCCCAAATTTCCAGCTTTTGTGCATCTGTGAGATTCTCTTGTGTGAGTGAGGGAGATCCCCATCTCAATACTATTCATAGCCCCCTGCCCTAATAGGGAGGTACAAAGGGTTCGCAGCACTCTCAGTATTTTTCAGAAAGGAAAGAAATCATTTAAGTTCTTCCCTCTCTGTTCATTCACTTTTTATTTTGTCATTTTATCTCATGTTTTCATTCTCCTGAATTATTCTGTGTATGAACAACTCAGAATTAATTGTCTGAGTGCTCTTAACATGTGAACTAGACCCTTTTTTGCAGCATAGCTATATAACTTTAATCTTTTTAAGGTGTATTCTAATTCCAGCTTATACTCTAGTACAGGCTGGATCGATGGGCCGAGGCCAATTGTATGAGGTTCAACAAGGCCAAGTGCCGGGTCCTGCACTTTGGCCACAACAACCCCATGCAGCGCTACAGGCTTGGGGAAGAGTGGCTGGAAAGCTGCCCAGCAGAGAAGGACCTGGGGGTGCTGGTTGACAACAGGCTGAACATGAGCCGGCAGTGTGCCCAGGCGGCCAAGAAGGCCAATGGCATCCTGGCCTGTATCAGAAGTAGTGTGGCCAGCAGGAGTAGGGAAGTGATCGTGCCCCTGTACTCGGCACTGGTGAGGCCGCACCTCAAATACTGTGTTCAGTTTTGGGCCCCTCACTACAAGAAGGACGTTGAGGTGCTGGAGCGTGTCCAGAGAAGGGCAACGAGGCTGGTGAGGGGTCTGGAGAACAAGTCTTATGAGCAGCGTCTGAGGGAACTGGGGTTGTTTAGCCTAGAGAAAAGGAG